CAGACGTTTTTAAAATCTCAGATTTGAAGATTCTTTTAAGTGCAGCTCTGCTAATCACTTGTCTAATTTCACGTTCAGACAATGTACCTTCCATAGTCATTTTTGTGCTAGGGTTGTTTATTGGGTAAGTTTAACTTACGTTGCCGGTCCCAATCCCACATAAAGGAGGAGGGAGAGGGCCAAGTAGTCAACAGCCGGTACTCCATTTTCACGTAGAATCTCTATGATAATGAATTCTAAACGAAACATGTTAAAGCTAGTTCATTACCCGGAAGTGACGAGGTGTGTGGCCCGAACACATTGATAAGTGAGCAAAGGTTGTTGTATCTCCACTGGCAACTAGATGCAATGTTAAATGAGCAAGGGTGTTGTAGAAACTTTTTTTTTTAACAACTCCACTCAAAGTTATTTGGAAGCATCTACTGACATTAACTTTACTCAAGTTAAGCAAAATAAGTATTTAGACCTTACTAGACGGGTGAGATCAAAGAAGCTGGGATATGAGGGTGCGGTTCAAGAGAATAGAATGCATTTAGGAACGTGAAAAATACTAACGGGAAAGTAGTGGAAGTTATGGTGTGGAGAAGGATACGTATTAAGTGAATCCAAGAAACTCAGTGGGTTGATTTTAAGGCAAAAGATCTCTAAAACTCATGTTTTAAGATTTGGTATTCGGGCACAAACAGATCGAAAAATGGTGTTGGCATCATCGTGGATAAGACTCTAATAAACGATGTTGTACATGTTAAGAGGGTCAGGGATAGAATCATAGCAATCAAGATTGTGATAGGACAAGAACTCATAAGAGGAAAAATTTTGGGAATATCTTAGAGAACTAGTTCAAGGAATCTCTCAAATGAAGAAGTTACTCATAAGAGGATATTTAAATGGACATGTGGGCAAGGAGACAGGCAACTAAAGAGGTTTTCTTGGTAGCAATGGTTTTGGGGAGAGAAACAAGGAAGGGGAAGCCAATTTGAATTTTGTGATCTCTTAGCCAATACATTCTTTAAGGAGAGAGAAGAGTATATGATCACCTACAAGATTTGGTCATCAAAAACACAAATAGATTTCTTTTCAATGAGGAAGGGGGATCATATAACTTGTAAGGATTGCAAAGTTGTACCGCGAAAGAGCCTAGCTAACCAACGTTGCATGTTGGTGATGGATGTACATATCAAAAGAGATAGAAGAAAGAACAAGACCTCGAAGTGTCCAAGAACTAGATGTTGGAATCTAAAAGAAGAAAAACAAGTCACTTTCAAAGAGAAAGTACTCGCCCAATGTGTTAGGATACAAAGGGGGATGCTAGCCAAATGTCGGATTCCATGGCTAGTTGTACCTGAAAAGTTGCAAAAAGGGTATTATGAGAGTCCAAGGGTTTTGCTCCACATTACTCTTTCGCCTGTCGAATTAGGAAAGAGGAAGTGGTTGTAGCTCTGAAAAAATGAAGCATAAAAAAGCAGTGGGTCCGGATGATATACTGATTGAAGTGTGGAAGGTCCTGGGAGAGACTAGTATAGCATGACTCACAAACATTTTCAATAAGATTTGAAAATGAAAAAGATGACAAGTAAGTGGCGTAGAAGCACTACTTTTGGTGCCTAACTACAAGAATAAGAGCGACATACAAAATTGCATGAACTATAGGGGCATTAATTTAATGAGTTATACAATGAATCTTTGGGAAAGAGTAATTGAGTATAGATTGAGGCAAGAAACACAAGTCTCAGACAATCAATTCAGGTTCATGCTAGGGTGCTCGACTATGGAGGCAATCTATCTTTTACAAAGATCGATTGAGCGATATAGAGATATGCAAAAGGATGCACTTGGTCTTTATAGCTTTGGAAAAAATGTATGATAGGGTCCCAAGAGAAATTCTTCGGAGGATTTTAGAGAAAAAAGAAGTATGAGTAACATATATCCAAGTAATAAAGGATATATATGATGGAGCAAAGACTGCAATAAGAACTCATGAAGGAAAAACTAAAAGCTTTCTCATAACCATAGGGTTACACCAATGTTCAGCTTTAAGTCCTTACCTTTTTGCATTGATAATAGATAGACATATTCAAGATGATATCCCTTGGTATATGCTTCTAGCAGATGATATAGTGCTAAAAGATGAAAGCAAGAAGGAGTAAATGTGAAGCTTAACCTTTGGCGGGAGGTGTTGGAATGTAAAGATCTTCGCCTAAATAGGTCAAAGATGGATTATATGGATTGCAAGTTCAGTGAGTATGGGGGTCCAAATGAGGCAGAGATGAGGATTGGAGATCAAGAAGTACCAAAGATTGAACACTTTCACTTTTTGGATCTATCTTGCAAAAGAATAGAGAAGTGGATGGAGATCTCAATCATATAATACAAGCTGGATGGATGAAGTAGAAAAGTGTATCGGGTGTGTGCTGTCGATTGTCATATGCCACTAAAGCTCAAGGGAAAATTTCTATAGGACAACAATAAGGCATGCATTATGCATGGAATGTTGCACGGTCAAGCATCACCATGTGAAAAATGAGTGTGGCGAAGATGAGAATGCTTCGTTTGATGTGTGGCACATGAGAAAGGACATGATTAAGAACAAGGATATTTGAGGTAAAGTAGGAATGGCTGCAATTGAAAATAAGATGAGAGAAAATTGGTTAAGGTGGTTTGGACAGGTGAACTGAAAACCTACAGATGCTCCGATTAGAAAATACGGTTATGAGATAGATGCTTAGGGCAAAAGGGGTAGCGGAAGACCTAGACAAATTTGGAAAGAGACTTTAAGAAAACACATGGAGTACTTGGACCTAACGGAAGACTTGGCACAAAACCGAACGCAATAGCATTCTAGAATCCATATAGGCGACCCACTTAGTGGGATAAGCCTGTGTTGTTGTTATCCTTGTCTTTCTCCTCAAGCTCATCTACAATTTACAACAAAAAGAAAAAAAGTTTACTACTACAAATTTTAGCCTTCCATTTTTCTCCTTCCAAGTTTTTTTTATAGCTTTCTTCAAAATTGACACATTAGAATTCTTGTTACCTCACTCAAGTGTCCCATGATATAACCAAGGTTCTAAAAATCGCTACGCGCTAGTCAGGTGGTGGGCAGAATTTTAGCGATTTTTTTATTTTTAATTAAATTTATTATATAACATGTAAATAAATGTCTACAATCTACTTATATTTATAAAAAATATATATATATATATATAATTGTATTGAGATACATAAATTGTAAAATATAATAACATAGATTATAAAGTATTAGACCATACTGAAAACATGGGGCACAAGTATATAATGAGTGTTCATCTAAATATTTAACAAAGTCTCTTACAATTAATTTAAAAAATAGAATGCAAAATGAAAGTTATCCATTTTCTGTCTAAGTTCATGACCTAGGCAGATCTAGGCGCCCTTTCTTAATTTTCAAACTCCTAGAGATTAATTGAGCCAGTGGTCAACCGCCAGTGCCTAGGTAGCGCTAGTTTTAGAATAGTGAATATAACTCAGGTAATTTAGCCAAAAGTCAATAAAAACTTTACTATTAAACCATATATCAATGACATATTTTTGTTTTGGACTTAATCAATGATATATTTTTATTAATTAGGCATAAGTCAATGATGAATGCAACATAGGCTTTAAGTCATTATAAATAGTTGGAATTTGACTCTTCTATCCTTTCTCTCTATGAATATCATATGGGCTTAAACTATTATAAATAGGGATTTAGATCCTCTCCGGATCAATTTTGTGGGGATCGTCTAAACCGATGGATCTCATCCATGATACAAATTCAACGGCCAAAATATATTTTCCTTCTCTTCCCCTCAACTCTTCTCTCTCCCTCACTTCGAAGCTATCAACCTAGAACAACCAGCCCCCCCCCCCCCCAAATTTCAAATCAAATTCAACCCTACCACCCACCCGAGCCACAACCCCCAATTGCAGGCCCCTCACCCTACCCTCTCCAAAATCAGACTCAACACTGCCATATCCCTCAATTGCAAGTCCCTCAACCCTAAAAACTCAACCTATGTTAACAAAACAATAAAGAGGGGTCGTGCATACTAGTGCCTTTTGGTTGCAGAGATCTTTTTCATAACTATGGAAGAATTATAGAGAGAAACAAAGTTACAATAAAAAGAGAAGTCTCAAAGATGAAGAAGAAGATAGGACAAATAGAAATCTTAAACAATAAGAGAGAGAGCAAAAAAATAAATCAGACTTAGAGGATAGATGACTTACAATTGAATTTGGGTTTGTTAATGGCTGTGAGGTGTGGTAGCGCAAGGGAGAAAGAGGAGTTGAGGGGAAAGAGAGGAAGGGGAAAAGGTTTTGGCCATTAGATTTCTAACCCTATGGAACTACTCCGGAGATGATCTAAATCCTATAAATAGTTAGAACATGTATATTCTCTCTCTCTCACATATACTCTCTCTCTCTCTCTCTCTCTCTCTCTCTCTCTCTCTCTCACCCTTTGTTTACATGGAGGAATCTACTCAACTCAAAAAAACGAAACCAAGAAACAAACATTGCATTGCAGTGTCCGAATCCAAATGTTAAAAAACAGTACCAGGAAACAAATACTACTAGTGCCCACAGTGTCTGAATCCAAATATAAAAAATATAATCAGACGGACACTGCAACGCAATGTCTAAATCCAAGTGTACAAAACAGAATCAGAAAATCATCCATATAAGTAGGAACATTGCAGTGTCTGAATTCAAACACCACATTTCAGTGTCTTGAATTCAAAACTGCATTAAAGTGGGTGCCAACTATAGTGGCAGATTTTGTAATTTTTGTTTATTTTAAATGCATTTAAGTATCACAATACATGATTGACCTATTTATAATTAACACAAATATTGTTGATATATTGTTAATATTGTCACTTTTTTTTTTTTTGTCAAATAGTCACTTTTTATTGATTCTACACAAAAGCACCCATATAACTACTGGCTGCATTTCCTGAAACTAAGAAATTTTCTCCGATAAATACAAAAACAGAATTTCATATAACTAATAAGATTTCAAGAAAAATCGAACAGAGTCGTCCCAATGGAAAGGCAAATCACCACATATAAGTCAACAGAATTTCCTACAATAAATACAAAACCCTCTAAAAAACTACCTAAACTCATAAGGAGTGCGACACGCAGTTGGTTTTACAGCTATGAATAAAAAACGCACCATAAAGCATGTTTGATAATTGTGCCAAGAGTTTCTGCTTGTCTGCAAAATTTGTATACAGGTTCATAACTCCTCGTCTTTCCTGGATCCATGGCTCCTTTAAATATCCAACTTATCGAGGTCGATCATGCTCGCAGAATTCTTTATGAGCTCCTTCCGGTAATCCACCTAAAACAAAGATACCCACAAATATCTACGTAAACTGGCATTTCGCTCAATGATACATTAGTTATGGCATCTGGGAAGCTGAATGACTCCAACCTTAAAACAAATAGCCTATCAGCAGTATGTTTCTATATTTCAAATCCCGTTTTGGATATTTTAAGACACACCATAAAGAGCACACACGCTAGAGACAGCGGGGGCTTTCATGATATAACTTTGTAGACAACAGAATGTCTTGGAGTCACTTTTGATTTCGAAAACCAAAAGGTATGCTTAGAAGGCAGCCCTTGTAAATATAAGCGCCAAATAGCTTCAGTTAATCATACCTGAGCAAAATAACCTTTATAAACGCTCTACTTACCCGAGCACCCATAAGGGATGAAAACACAATGTTTGCCTCAGCAGCATCCTCAACCCCTAATCGTTTAAGAAGCCTTTGCTCAGGATTCATTGTTGTTTCCCATAACTGGGCAGGCATCATTTCCCCCAGGCCTGCATTGCAATCACACCAACATGATAATTAAACAGCTAGTTCCAACTGAAAGTTCAGTCATACATGGCTTGAATTCACTAGTAACATAATAACTTTCCGAAAAATAAACATAGGGATGTCTTTATCTATAGAAACAGATAATTTAGTAGATGTTTCCATTAGTATGCCCTTGGGCTTTATCCGGGTTTAATGCTTCCATTACTTGATAGAGCAGTTGATTGTCAAAGGATTGTATGATATAACCCTAACACGGAGTGTGAATGCCGAGGTACACCCATGTTTAGAGCTGCATGTGGCCAGTTTATGAGCAGAAGCGTGCTTATGTTTAATCTCTATTTCAGAATTATATGGTATAATGAACCAAGCTTGAGTAAAACCTAGCTCACTTGTTCAAACTTATGATGAAAGCTCGTAGAGCCAATTAATATAAGACGGGGTAACAAGTTTGTATGCAGTTAAATTCCTTAATTAGGTTTATATATATATCATTGAAATTACAATTTGAACAAAAAGCCATCTGCTGACGTTAAAGCAGATACCATTTAGGTGGTGATCGCTAGTTTCCTAGCTTTAATTTGAACGAAAAGCCATCTGCTGACGTCAAAGCAGATACCATTTAGGTGGTGATGGCTAGTTTCCCAGCTTTAAGTATTTTGGGGCTCAATGGTTGTTTAAATTTAGCATCATAGCTTTAGTTGCTGAAGGTTCTAGAATAAAATGCCTCTAATCCCTTCTTCCACACTTATCCATTAATGTGCAACGTGCAGGATGGGTTTTACTAAATGTTTTACGACATATCTGACTCTCTCAGCTTCCTCATGTACAGGATGCAGCTGCATGTGAGGGAGTGTGTTGGCTTGACATGCACTGTTGACAACAGCTTAAGTTTTTAGGATGTAGAGGTTACTTAACAGGTAGGAAATTACCTTTTGAAAAAGGAAAAAAAATTAACCAAAATTCAAGCTCAAACTGTTCATCAAGCATAAGCTCTAGCTCCTAGATTTTCTTCTCTTTTCATGGTATCTTGCTACAAAAGAGTGACTGACAGGTTGATGTTGATAGTTTAAAATTTAGGTGGTGGCTTTTGGTCCAAACCGGAAATCTAGCAGAAACATCACATAGCATTGGAACAAAACATGTGCTAGAAAGATAATACTATGAATTCTAATATTTAAACATGTCACCTAGTGAAGACAAATTGCCTCTCATCTAGTAAACTGCAGAAAGGTATAAAGTTGGCCTATTAATGTCATTGACACCCATTAGTCATCTAGTAATCTGCTTGTACAACATCATCTCCTCTATATAATTGCACAAAAACATAACATTTTAATAAAGTCTGAGGCATGAGAAGAGTCAGCTGACGTTGTGGGCACTAATGGCTCTGCCATGCCCATAAAGGACCTACTGACTTGAAAACATATATGCCCTTACAAAGGAGCTCATTATCGGCCACTAACAGCATGCATTGAACTGTATAAACTTCAGTTTCATAGTGTTCATACTAACCTTTGAACCTCTGAATGTTGTAAGACGCATTTGAAGGGAAGGAGCTCTGAAGCATTTTAAGTTCAGCTTCATCATAGCAATATTTGGCTTGCTTTCCCCTCTCAACCTGGTTATTTCAGCAAAACCAATGGACTTAGCTATATACTATTCTATAAAATCCCTCTGATTAATTCAGATACAAATACAAACCTTGTAAAGTGGTGGAACGCCAACATATATGTAGCCCTCATCAAATAAGGCTCTCTGCAAGCAAGAACTACTGCATCATGTTTGTAGCCATTGCAAATAACTAAATAAGTGGGGTTTCTTATGTTATTTGTTTCTTATTAATTTCTGTTTTTAGATATACCATAGGAAAAAATTCCCCAAAATATCCGTTCCCTACCTGATATCTGAAGAAAAATGTCAGAAGCAGAGTACGGATGTGAGCACCATCTATATCAGCATCTGTTAAAATGATAATCTTATGGTAACGTAGAGCCTCCTTCTTGAAGTCCTCACCCTGAAAAGAAGATTATGTAGATGATTCCTTAAAAATAAATAAATAATATTATAAATGAAAACATATAACAAAATTTATTCAACCTTCACCCCAAGTCCAAGACCAAGAATTAGATTTTGAATCTCTTCATTTTTATACATTGCTGCCTCATCCTTCCTTTCAATGTTCAGAATTTTACCCCTCAGTGGCAGAATGGCCTGCAGAAAATATTTCACAATATAAATTACAGCCATCCCATAACTTTTTACACAGAAAAGATGGATGATCCATTAAGAAGGCTATTGCTTTCAAATCATTATATCTGATTCCCAATGCATTACGAAGCCATAGCACGAACAACATTCTGGTCAAGCCACAAATCAGAATGCCATCACATAGAGGGCAAGACAAATAATGTATCAGGTCATATTTTTATCCGAGCAGTACAATCCTCAATTTTATTACCACAGCAACACACTATATGGATACAAAATGAAAGTTAGAATGATTGACCCATAGACAGTAAAAGTAGTGGAATAATTGTTCTGCTACAGTGATATTTGAACCAGTAAGGTCTGCAAACTTAATGGTAGTGGAATGAGGTTACAGAGAAGTGCTTCCTTTTCCAAACGATGACCATTTAATCTGGCATCCATGCTTTGAAAGATATCAGGATCCAAAATTTAAATAGCTCTCTTCCAATCAATTCCCATTTACTATTCTACAAATCATCAAATGCATAACACAAAACAGCTAGTGCAGAAAAGACTATCAGGACCCAACTTTTTAATAGCTTTCTCTTCCATTCCTTTCCCATTTACTTCTCTATAATCATCAGATGCTTAACACAAAACAACTACCAATTCAGATCACTATTAAAAAAAGGTCTATTGCAATGGAGGCAATATATAATTTTATGTTTTAGCTTGCTCTTCCATTCCACTCCATTAATTTAAAAGAAAAACCATTCACTGCTAAAAAAGGTATATTGCAAATTGGCTATCAGGATCCAACTTCGTAATACCTTTCTTTTCCACAACATTCCCATCTATTTTCTATAAATCATCACATATGCTTGCCAAAACTACAAACTAAACAGTTATAAATTTACCTGAAAGCGCCTATCACGACCTTGTTTTGCACTTCCACCAGCTGAGTCTCCTTCAACGATAAAGATTTCTGTAAACATAAAACAGCAAGGAACAAAAATTTAATGCTCAACAAAATAATACGAAAGTTTGTTAGAATACTTAGGGCAACAAGACGGGAGAAATACATATTAAGAAAATCTCTTACAATTCAATTACCAACCACAACTCTTAACTACAAATATATAAAAACCAGATCAAGCCATACAAATGTCTCATTACATTAACGCAAAAGAGCAGAGCATACATTAAATCTCACAAATAATGCCGGAACCATTTACCATTACTATGGAAGCACAAAAATTCTAAGCAAATAAGGTGGAAGGTCACTGTTCAAGGAAACTAGCAGGAGAACCAAAATAGATACGATGAGAAAGAGGACCATGCAATCTATCATTTCACAGCAACATGCTTGTGATAACTGAATTCAATATAAGAAATACACCAGTGGTTGGACTCATTATGTCAGCTAAATCTATCAAATACTAAAGCCTACCAGAAGAGAAGAAAAACCAAAAAGATATTCTTCATATATACTGTTACCCAAGTAAACTTATACGGTAAATAAAAATTATTCACAATAACAATTAAAGAGCGTGAACTCTTTAAAATCTATGCAAACATCGAGATATGTTTCTTCTCCAAGTAAAAAATGTATTCAAAAGGAAAAGAATGATGATCAAGTGTTGAGTAGTGTTAATTTATCCAAAAAAAAAGTGTAGTGTTAATATATTCTCTAAGAAGTAAATGCAACAATTTTCAAAAAAAAATAACTTTCCAGAAACAAACAGTAGAAAATATAATGTTTAAGACGGTTGCAGTGGAAAATCCAATAGTGACTAAAGACAGACTTTGGAATTTATAAATTCAACTAAAAGGAATATGTCGCTGAAGTAATCCTTGCAACTGTTAAGTTTAAGAAGATGAGAACTATAAAATTTGGAATCATAAGCAGAGCTAGAAAATGATTACTATCAAAACATCTAATAACCTAATAACCAGAAACTCAAAACAATATTCCTTTGAGAATCTGACGTCAGCTTCATACAAGACGGTGCAAACATACCTGATTCTTCAGGATTTGTTGATGAGCAATCAGATAGTTTTCCTGGCAGAGAAGATGATCTCAACACACTTTTTTGTCTGACTAGTTCTCTTGCCCTCTTTGCAGCCAAAGCTGCCTAGACAAGGAAACATTAGACGCTAGGAAAAGATCTCAAGTATAATCTACGTAAGCTCCATGCATCAAAGCGCTATCATAATCTACAAGGATACCTTGAGAGCATTCAAAGACTTTGAAAGGATTGAATCCAGTACATCCGGATGCAACTCCAAGTATTCTGTAAGATACTCTTGAAGTGATTGATCAACCACTCTCCGCACCTCTGGATTTCCCAACCTAGTCTTTTAACAGAACAAACAACAAATAAGGGTACAATGGTAAAGCCTAGGATGCCCCTAGAAACAGTACAGCCGAGCTGCCAAATCATTATTCCACATCGGGATTAATACAAATAGGTAGTACCTTTGTTTGGCCTTCAAATTCCGGATTGGGAACTTTGACCGAGATGACACACGTCAACCCTTCTCTCACATGCTCACCACTCAAAGTAATATCCTTTTCCTGGACAAAAATATAATGCGCCTCAAAATAATGAAAACTTTTTTCAATATGTACTTTGAATTAATAATTAGATTAACCATTGAGATGAGTTTATTGTAGATAATTAAATCTTCTAAGCCTAATACATATGTACAATGAACCAGCTTAGGCAGACAACATTTCACCGATAACAGAAATGAAATGCATAACTAAGTTATTCACAGTTGTCACCATCTGTTTTGATAAACATCAAAATCCTATCTTACTTCTTGAAGTGTGTGTGTGTATGCACGCGCGCACCTGTGTGCCTGTCTGTGTGCGCGAGAAAGAGCCCTTAAGTTAAAATACACGAGTATTGTGCAAAGTGATACAAGTTTATTTAAACCTGACAGACAAATAGAAAACCCAGAAGTTTAATGATGAAGAGTTGCTATTTATAAATAAAATTTCAGTTTCAGACCACCCTTCAAGAAAACAAAATTATAGAAATAAAGAGAAAATTAAAAGAAGCCACAGCAGATTACTGTTATTTCTGAAAGAATGACAACAGAAAAGGGGTGCACCTTGATAAGTTTTGACTTCTTTCCAAGACTATTTAGAGTTCTTGTTAATGAAGCCTTCGTTCCATCAATATGGGTTCCTCCATCAACAGTTCGTATGCTATTAGCATACCCAAGCATTGTATCTGAATATGCATCAGAACACCTAGTACCATATCATCACAGTAATGCAAGAACTGGTTGTCAACAATTTGCAAAATTTTATCCCATGTAAAATTCACTTTATCATAATTTATGACAAGAAACTTCTTCTTAATGAAGGGATTGTAAAATACATAATGAAGTTAATTACCACTGAAGAGCTACATCAATAGTGACTCATCTACTTCTTTTCTAAAGCCAACCACATCATGAAGCGGTTTCTGAATCAAAGAGGTCAATGAACCATCTTTAGAAAATAATGCAAATCAAAATCCAAAAACTTAAAATATCATATAGTTCATACGGATACACATTATGAAGTAATTATACTTTATATGTTGCCAAGTGACATGTACTTAAACTATATGTCAAGGAGTTTCTAGGAAATTTGACATGTCATTTTTGTAGAATACTCATATAGATGCTAAGATTCACCGCACCCTGTGTAGATCACAAAAGAATGATGTCCAGTAATTGATAGTATTCTTTTCTTACAAATGAAATTCTTAGAATACAAGGTACATGTGTAGTATACAAGAAGCCCTATCCTAGAGTTCAAAAGGAAGAAGTGGGAGAGTTAGTATTTGTTTAGACATCTGCATCACTTGCTTAAGAACCATGAAGCAACATCACTAACTGTAAATTTGCCTAGATCAAATTTAGATCAAGCAATTCTAACAATGGAACAAAAAAATTGCAAAGATAAGAGGTTGAGCATACCTTATCAGTATTTAGCCATTTTACATATTCAACCAAACCCCCAGCATAAAAGTATTCATTGTGGTGGTTCTTCTCTGGATTGATATCCTCTTGTCTAAGAGTGATCATGAGCTGCAAAAAACAGAAGACAATAAAATGTCAAGAACAGAAAAACAATAAACCTATCCTATGATGCCCATTTCCCACTAAAATGAAAATCCATAAAATTTATCAACAAATACAAAATGCAGATCAGCAGATTTATTTGTTAAAAGGTAGTGGGGCATAATAATTAAGAATTAAAAGCAGTGACTTTACGTTTGGGTTTAGAAAAGCTAGTTCCCTAATTCGTCCAGCTATCGTGTTGTAGTCAAACTGAATATTAGTTGTGAAGACTGCAGGAAGATGAGAATCAGATAAAGCAAATATAAATCACCAAATAATTGGGAATAAATTTTAAACTATGACCATCGAATTCACTAGGACTCGAAGGAGATAAGAAAAACCTTCTTTGTCAGGCCAAAATCTGATGCGTGTTCCTTGCCGATCTTGGAATTCAACTGGAAGCACATGACAGGATAGAGTTGTCACAGGTTTTCCACGAGAATACTTCTGCTGATATTCCATTCTATCACGCCAAACAGTAACTTCTAATGCCTGCGAGGCCAGGCATCACAATTTAGCATGGTAGACACTGATAACCCAAGTATTAAACCTCATAAGCAGAGAGAGGTGAAATTTGTATTGGTTATTTTTAGGCAATTAGTTGAAGGAATTTTAGCATAATGGAAGGAAATGTGAAGAAGGTGGCCATCTTGAGGGATAAAGAGAGAGGTTAAATGAATCCTCAAACATCGATATATGCACAAAGACAGGAAAAATGACCAAACAAATTTAGCTTAACAGATAATGCACACCTCAGACAAGGCATTGACGACTGATAACCCCACACCATGCAATCCACCAGACACACTATAGCCACTACTTGAACCACCAAACTTGCCGCCAGCATGTAAAACCTGAAAAGTAATTCATAAAATTATCACTTATAAAATAATACAGCTATGTCCCAATATAAATTTCTCAAGTCTCCAGTTTTGTAAGATCTTTCTATCACTAGAAAATAGAAATCCCCAAACTCGTTGAGTTCTATTATCCATAGTTCAAATCTTGAAGATACCACTGAAAAATATGCTCAATATTTGACTTATCTACAACAGCTTATAACCAAAGTTACAAATACATGTTTTAGTGTACATTCAAAAAGTTTTAGACAATTATTTGTTTGATTTTGGTGTAAAAAATAACTGACCCTGTACAATGTGAAGTGGTTCCATTCTAACCCTACACCAAAATTTGAATGATAATTTATGTAACAATACCGTCAACACAGTCTCCAAGGAAGATTTCTTGGTTGCTGGGTGCATATCAGTCGGAATCTGCAATGAACAAGAGCATAAAAAGCACACATAAAGACAATAGCTACATATATTTAAAGCTGGACCATAACTGAAAATTATTGAGATGAGTATTAAAAGAATTCTAATATAATGTGTGGTCAGATGCAAAACTCTAACTAGCACTGCATTAAAAGTTAGGGTTCGGAATCTAGAAACACTGCATGGGTACTCAACCACAATATTGTAGTCCCTACATCTACAGTACAGTTCTGGTAAATGTAGTTTTGCAATGGCGCTTTGCGCACTTGACTCCAGAGTAGGGTCTTCCCACTGAACCCTAAAATCTTAGCGAGGCAGGGAAACTTTTTTCCTTTTTTTAACAAACAATATGATCTACACTAAGGGGGAGGGGAGGGGTGAACTTAGCTTCCCAATGGGCTAGCAATAATGTGGTTCAAATTCGCCTTTGACGAGAATCGAACCTAAGATCTCTCACTTACAAGTGAAGAGGAATACACCGTAGTACTAAATGGCCTGAGGCAGGGAAACTTTAGTAAATAGCTAATTAGGTACCTTGAAAAAATCAAAGGATCCCACCAAACCGTCGCTGGTCAATGAAATATATAAGGACCAAAGGATCCGGACTTTTACTTTTGTTATGTGCCTTAATATGTTTACTGCATTGCAGAATTTAGGCCGCATTTTAATGAACAATTTTACAGACTCTGGAAATATTGGCTATACATATGAGATATATAAGTCTGAAGGGAGTATAGAGGCATATCAACACATGTCAAATATATAACACAGGAATTTTTAGTCTTTTGTCTAAAAGGTGAACAGAATGGAGCATACCCCACGACCATTGTCAGTGATGCTCACAGAACCATCCGCTAGCAAAATGACCTCAACCTTTGAAGCAAATCCGGCTTGAGCCTCGTCAACTGCATTATCTAATATTTCATATACCTAAAAGAAAATGATCAGAAACTAGCAAAAGCACATCATTCAAACTAGAAAGATACAAGTGGGTACAAATAGTACCAAATGGTGAAGACCACGAAGTCCCGTGCTCCCAATATACATTCCTGGCCTCTTTCTAACTGGGTCTAAGCCTTCCAATACCTGAGCATGAAAGACATTATAGCACCAAACCAAAACCAAGTCAGAAATGACAGTTTACACACCCCCCCCCCCCCCACTCAGAACAATTTTCTAACTAAACCCATCAATCAGCAACAATTCCCAACAAACATAAACAGTTAGAAACATTTACTTATCGATTTCAAAATACGGAAAAATGCACAAACCACAAAAAGAAAAGAAAAAATTGCATAATGTAAATGACTAAAAGAGAATAGTAATTTTGTATCCGAATCGCGTAAAAACCAAATAGTTTACCTGAATCTGATCGGACCCATAAGCACTGGAGCCAGTAGTGCCTTGAAAAGCCTCGGTTGCAGGTGTAGAGGACATAAAAGCTCTTGCAGAAACCACATTTCGAACTGCACAGCAGCTACCAACGCCCTTCAATGGAAATTCCGCCCTGCCACAACCAATAACTAAAACCCTTAAACACTTTTCACTTTCCGAGCACAAACAAAATACAAAAATATTATCAGCAAAAAACGAATGAATAAATTTATTAATTCGGAATTAAGAAAAAAATAAAATATTTTGGGACAATTCCAGCGTTTCTAGGGAACCAAACAGGAATGAAGCAGAAAGCGAGGGGGAAAATGGGAAAGAGGAGAGCACCTGGGTGGGGGGTTGAAGAGGAGAGAGGGACGAGGAAGCGAGGAAGACGAAGACGGAGAAGAAGAAGAAAAAGAAGGAGAGGGGAAGTGAGGGCGGAGAGAGGAGTGGGAGAGGAAGCGTAAGGCCATGAAGCGAAGATAAGAGGGCGGAGGAGGAGGAGGAGGTCGAAGAAGAAGAAGCGCCATCAGTATTTGGTATGGAACTAAATCTTTGCTTTTTACAGGGTTTTTCTTTTTCCTTTTAAAAAAAAAAATATAAAATGAAACGATAAAACCCTTTTCCGCCCAAAACCCTACCCCCTTCCACAAGCGCTATCTTCCCTCCTTTCATTTTATTTATTTTTTTTATTTTTTATTATTTTTTTTTTGCTAGAAAAGGAAACTGCATTAAAGAGAAAAGCCCCTATGGCAACCCGTTTGAGTCCAGTCAAAGAAAAAAGCAGCAGGAGCTGCCACCGGAATGGTCCTATTCCAAACATGTGTGTGAACAACAAAATGCCCAACACTAGGGATCGCATTCGCAAGGAAATTAGCCTCACATAACACATGCTTTTAGGAGATGCCCTCAAAGGAATCCGCCAACGAATATTGGCAAGAATGGTCCTCAGCCTCCAGGAAACCTGATGGGAACCACGGACCGCCTCAATGACCAATTTAGAATCGCCTTCAACAATGATGCACTTGAAACCTCTCAAGGCATCCAACCAAAGCCCGTCACGAAGTGCTAAACATTTCGCTACATTAATAGTACTTTGACCAACTTCACGTGCCCCAACAGGGATAGGAAGACCCAAGTCATTTCTAATCACAAAACCAAAAGCAGCCATCTGGTTAACCACCGAACCATCAAAATTAAGTAATTAAGTTTGACATATCCATTTTCCAGAGGAGACCAATGGATAACACCTGGAATTACCCCTTGTTTATCATTTTGCTTCATATGCAATAGTAAGTTAGCTTCATGATAATCTCTACCCATATTTAAGGTAGAAAAAACGATGGGAAGTGTTATTGACACTCCAAAAATCTCATTCTACACTCCTCATAAGTGTATTTTTCTTTCCAAATATAGAAAGTTTGGAGTGTAGAATGAGATTTTTGGAGTGCCAATAACAATTCCAAAAAGTAATTAGGTTTCTTATTCTGAAACACAACAAGATTTCTTTCTTTCCAGATTTGACAAAAAATAAGGAAAGCCATATGCAACTCACTTAGACCATCACAAGTATTGATATCTAGGGAGTCTAACCAATCATTTAAACTCAGGGTTCGATTCATCTTTAAAGAGTTAGGAAGCATGGGATTGTTCCAAATCTATCTACCAAAGGCACAACTGACAAACAGGTGGCTTCTACATTCATTTTCCAAATTACAAAGCAGGCAAATAGCTGGAATATTGTTAATAAAATGAGCCAGTCGGTCTCTAGTTTGAAGTTTCCCCAAAACGAGCAGCCAACCAAAAATTTTAATATTGTGAGGCAAATCAAGCTTCCACATCTTCATTAAGAGCTTGCTAGAATTATCATTATCAATGACCGAATTCCATAACTAGGTAGCAGACTTGACAAAAAACTTACCATTTGCATTCGGACCCCAACAGCAAGAATCACATTAAGGAGTGAGAGGTAGAGGAACACTACAAATCTTGTTCACAATATCCACATCAACTAGACATTAGCAAATGCCCATTCCAATGGCCATTTTCAATGAACTGACTCACTCTCAGCTCTGGATCAACATTACCAATTTGAGAGTCAGATAGCAGATTGAAGAGCGGGAAAGGAAAAACCTAATTATAGGGTCCAGAAGCAAATATCTTCTCCATTTCCCACCACCCAACGCAAACCCATTATGACTACCACCCTAGCTTTAAGTATGCCCTTCCAAGCACAAGAATAATTTTGTCTAATCTTATTATTTAAGAACTCTTCATTCTTCAGATATTTATTCTTAACAATTTGGACCCACAAATTATTGTCCTCAGTTAAAACCTTCCACACTAATTTAGCCAAACAAGCGTTATTAAAATGCGCATTTTTTCGAATACCAAGACCTCCCTTCTCTTTTGAACAACATATTTTGTCCCACGCGACCAGGATTGAACTTAGAGTCCTTTGCCCACAAAACTTCCTACTTTCTCTATCAATAGCCTTCATAACCTTATTAGGACATTTAAAACAAGAAAGAGTATGATTAGGGACTCCAGCAAGATTAGATTTGATAAGAGTGAGTCTCCCTGTCTTAGAAAGAGTATTGGCCTTCCAACCCGACAATTTGTTTTGGATCTTAACGATCAGTTCTTTGGTGTTAACCTGGACTTTCCAGAAGATAATATTATGGATCCCCAAGTATTTACCAATAGTGGTTTTATGCTGAATTTGAAGGATATTAACTATATCATTTTTAAATTGATTCCTTGTGTTATTAGATAAATATAAAGAGGATTTATGGAAATTTATTTTTTGCCCAGAGGCACAAGAGAAATCCTTAAGCACCTTAGCAATAAATCTGGTAGCTGTATTGGTACCTTTATACCATATTATTTATACTGTGTTTGGTACTGAACCGGATAGGACAAAAGAAAAAAAAAATTTAACAAATCTTTCTTTGTTTGTTGAACTTTTCTCATATTTATACCTATTGAAAACCACATAAATTTTCAAATAACAAAGAAAAATAGTAAATTTCATACATCAAATTCAAAATATTTTCTAATAACATAAAAAAAGGTTCACAAAAAACAACTACAATCGTTACGATATATAATCCAACCACATATCCAAGTTCATAAAATATACAAATGCAAGGTGGTTTCAGTAAGAAACAGTTTGTCCAGATAGCCAAAATATATGCATGCTACTTTTAACAAAATATATGCATGCTACAACTTATAACAAAATATATTGTTGTTGGTTTGAAATGTCAATTGGGGTTACTTTGTCCAAGTAACATGAGTACAAAGGCTTTTTTCATTGCACCATCCAAAGACGAGAATGTCCTCTCATTCTGTGGCTTTTCGAAAGGGATATTTAGTGCCTTGATTTGATCCTCAATAGACAAATCCATCTTTGACAATTCTGAAACAATCTCAGGTTTTGGATCCACTCATTTCCCAAAAGCAACTTGTAAAACTTCACCCAACTTATCAACTGATTCAGAAATCTGCACACACACACAACTTGTAAAACACGCACACACACACACACACGCTGCACACACACACACAATCTGCACACACACACACACACGCACACACACAATCTGCGCACATTGCAAGCACAGACACACACACACACACACACACACACACGCTGCCCTTGGTTTTCTCTTCCATTGCAAGCACACACATGCTGCGCGCACACACACACACACAATCTGCGCACATTGCAAGCACAGACACAGACACAGACACACACAGCCCTTGGTTTTCTCTTGCATTGCAAGCGAGCACACACACACACACACACAATCTTCGCACATTGCAAGCACAGACACACACACACGCTGCCCTTGGTTTTCTCTTGCATTGCAAGCGTGCGCGCACACACACACACACACACACACACACCCTGCACATACACACACACACACACACACACACACACACACACACACCCTGCACACACACACGCTACACAAACACACACGCTACACACACACACACTGCACACACTATCTACGCACATCGTTGCACACACACACACCCTGCACACACACACTCGCTGCACACACACACACACAATCTGCACACACACACACACACGCTGCACACACACGTACACACACAATCTGCGCACATTGCAAGCACAGACACACACACACACACACACATGCTGCCCTTGGTTTTCTCTTCCATTGCAAGCACACACATGCTGCACGCGCACACACATGCTGCGCGCACACACACACACTCACAATCTGCGCACATTGCAAGCACAGACACACACACACACACACACAGCCCTTGGTTTTCTCTTGCATTGCAAGCGAGCACACACACACACACACACAATCTGCGCACATTGCAAGCACATACACACACACACGCTGCCCTTGGTTTTCTCTTGCATTGCAAGCGCGTGCACACACACACACACCCTGCACACACACACACACACACACACACCCTGCACACACACACGCTACACAAACACACACGCTACACACTGCACACACTATCTGCGCACATCGCTGCACACACACACACCCTGCACACACACACTCGCTGTACACACTATCTGCGCACATTGCAAGCACAGACACACACATACACACACACAGAGTTAAAATTGTAAGTTCAACACCAACAACAAACCCTAAATTCGACCCCAATAGAAAACCCTAAAATTCAACACCAACAACAAACCCTAAATTCGACCCCAATAGAAAACCCTAAAATTCAAAAATTCTAATTAAAACACAAAATTACATAATCAATTGCATAATTAGAGAGAAAATGATAACTAGATTCAATCAATTGAAAGAAAATTGCAAGAAAAATAGGAGGAGGGGGAAGAATAGAGGGAGGGGCGGAATCCTAGAAGAAGAAATCTGAAAAGTACAAAAATCAAGCAGTCATCTGCAAACATCAAGTTTGTAACCCTAAAACCTTTAGGGGCAGTTAACGGCCCAATATTCTTCTTAGGAGACATTCCCAGGCTGTTCAGGTGTCTTACCGGAGGCTCCATACACAAAATGAAAATGTATGGGGACAGAGGCTCTCCCTGACTAATACCCCTCGAAGGATAAAAATAGCCATGAGCTTTACCATTCACTAACACAGAAAAAGAAGTAGAAGTAATACACTACAATAAGATTGACCCAGTGAGCATTAAAACTAAACCTCAGCAACACAGCTCTATTATAATCCCAACTAATAAAATCATAGGCTTTCTCTAGGTCTAATTTAATAGCCATAGCACCATTCTTACCTTTCTTACCTTTGAAAGTCAAGAAAATTTCACGCGCAATCAAAATATTATCTTGGATTGATCTTCCAAGAGAAAAAGCACCTTGATTCTTGGAAATACAATGAACAACTAAAGGTTTAATCTGATTAACCATAATCTTAGTAATAGTCTTATGAGTAACATTACACAAACTGATTGATCTAAAGTTAGACACCAACTCAGGGCTCTTCACTTTGGGAATGAGTGTTGTGGAGTCAAAAATAATCACAAGGTGATATGTGGATTTTTGGTAAAAAGGACAAAGTCACCCTTGAGACACACCGGTTGTCCTACGCGCGAGCAGTGGACAATCAACCAAGAGTGTCCAAAATAGGTAACAAATTCCAAATTATCTCATCCATCCTCATCTTAGGTAATTACTTCATAACC